GCTCCTCCACCCGTCCCCGCTCCGCTCCGCCGGCCCCGCCGCCGCCCGGAGGCTCCACGTCGATCGCCGCCGCGGCGAGTAAACGAGGCGCTTCCCCCTCTGCCGCCGCCTCGCCGTTTCGACACGGAGCCCGGACGACGGCCACCGACCTCGGCCAGCAAGGGAAGGGGCGAGCGCCGGGCTTCCCTTGCCCTCCCCTGCGCGGATACAGCCGGGCGGGAAGGGGTAAAGGGAGGAAAGATTTAAAAATAATAATTTAAAAAAAAAAAAAAAAAAGCGTGGCGAATCTGCGGCGGCGGAAGCGTTGGGCTGAGGGGAGGGGCGGGGCTTCCGGCTTCCCGCTTCCCGCCCGCCGGCGCCTCAGGCCGCCATCAAGGCGAATAAATAACGACGGCCCAGCGCGGCCCCGCGGAAAGGAGACCGGGGGCCGTCACAGCACGAACGTTCCCCACGTTCCACACCACCACCAGCCGGCTACCATCACGGCGTTTATAAAGTGCAGCGAATTCCTCGGAGCCGGCAGAATTCCAAAGTCATATTCCTGTAGTTAATGAGGAACTCGGTTCGTTACTTCCCGTTTTCTGCTGAGAGGGTAGAGAAGCAAGAAAAACCCTCTGGAGAATCAACAACGTCCAACTCCGTAAACCATTAATATCGAGCTGCTCCTGTGGAACAGCTAATAACCATCATCTGAGAGCAGGGCTGTCGTCATCCCTGCATAAAAGATGATGTAATTCTCGTAACTAGTTTGTGCAGATGAATAAGTATAAAATCGTAAAAAACGTGAAATACTAAGTAATGAAAAACAGAGGGCAGACAGAATATAGAAGGCACACATGGAGAATTGGGCTTTACGATCAGACTCTAGTAAGAGAAATCCAACAGATCTCATGTCAATAATCAGTGGTTAAGCTTTCTTTTTTTACATAAGAGACGAGGAGATAGGAATATCTCTTATGAGAACAATCTAACTATAGAACCAATCTACCACTCAAGCATGTTGCCTTCCTCCTCATGCATTTTATTCTGTATTTATACTCCTGTTCCAGCAAGCACAGCACAGAAAACTTTACTCCCCCAAGCCATAAGAACCAAACCCAGGGCAGTCACCTTCCATGACTTTCCCCATTCCCCCCCCCCCTTATCTAGACTTGTCCAAAGAGAAGCAGCTTCTACTTCTGTCAGCTGAAAAAAGGCAGGACAAGAGGGAGCAGAAACAAGCAGTTCACGCTGCCAAATGATCACCTTTCATACAGAATCCACACCAGAGTGACCACAGTCTGCAGGTGCTGAAACGTGAACCCCAGGTTTTCATTAAACCTGTGTGTGAAGCAAGAGCAGCATAAACAGACACAGACATTCTAGTTTTCTCTGAAAGCATCCACAAATGTGGTATCACCACAGCTGCAGAACTTTTGTTTCCTTTATGTCCTCCATCAGAATTCTTTCTTGCTTGAATTTTTATATTAATCATAACTCCGTTAAAAACAATCCTTTATTTTTCTTGTCAAGTTGGGAGCAGTAGGAAAGAATACACAAAACTGATCCATAGGGATAAGAAAAAAAGTAACAAAATATTTCTGACATTATTTAGAAAACGTATGATCTATAAAATCTGATGATCCAGAAGGCCTGCGCCAGTACACTGCTTCAAGAGGCAAGCAACATGTATCAGAGTCTTTTAGGTCCTTGATATCCTTAGGAGACCACGGATGCGTCTAACAAGAGCTTGAATAAAGGTGTATCGTGACCGAACCTTAGAATATAATCCTTCGATGTCCAGGAGCTTCTTCTGCAGAGATTCACCAAAGCTGTTTGTGGCTTCTATCTGAAGCTGAGAAACAGATTTGTTGCAGTCATCAGTACAAAATCTTCTCTTTCTGGAATGTCAGCTTATCCATCATCAACTACCTGTCAACTATGATTTATTCTCTAAGCCACTTTCAAAAGTATGTTTTTTCTGACTCCCCTAATAAGTACTGCTTGCATTGTTCCCTTACATTTTTCTCTCTAAATTGTATAATGGATAGCCTTTCTACAGAGGTTTTTGGGTGACTCAGAGCATTTACAGATTACCCAAATATTACCACCTTACAACCCCTCCAAGTTTTAGGAATTAAACAGTTGCATATAATTCAGCTTCTTCAGTTACAGTCATACAAACACTTCTTCCCATTAAAATTTACCTAGTCCTTTAATGACTGTTTAGGAGTGCAGAGTTCATGTGCATAGACAACAGTTTTTCATTAATACATATGTAAACAATCCCTGAAAAAGTTAATTACATTCTAAGTATTTTCGCAAGATGTTACTGTATATTTTGCTTTTGAACAAATGAAATAAGACAGATGCCTCATCAGAAAAAACACAACTGTTCTTATAATTCTAGATCTTATAAGGGTACTTGAGACTGCACAGGTTTTGAGCACATTTTTCTGCACAAACAGCAGTAGAAATGTTAGTGGGATTTATTAATGGTATTTTTTTTCTGCACCTCCGCATCAAATTTACACAAACCATTAAATCACTGTGTAAGCAGAAATCACTTCTTTGCTAACATTCACGTTTTATAGTCTCCTCAGTTTCTGTTACCCTTTTCAGTCTCATTTCTCTACAGCCTAGCTGCAGGTGACGTGTAGTAAACAGCTATAGTATCACAGAAGACTGGGAATCCTGCCCTCATGTTGCAAGTCTTTCAAGGATAACTGACGTTTTCAGAAAGCTATTACTAAAAAAATACATTCCATTTGACTGGTTTACAAAAAAAAAAAAAAAAATTTTTTTGCTAAGCCTAGCTCATTTTTCATTTAACTTTTTATATGAAGACTCAAAAATATGTGTGCAGCAGCACAAGTGATACCTGCATCATAATACTTTTCCCCCCAAATTTTGCAATGCTTCATTAATCCTAAATTAAGTTACATCCTGTTGGTGTTACCACAGGTTGTTCAGAGGTGGGAAAGCTACAGTCAGACTGCTCTCAACAGCTGTACGGTAATCAAGCACATTCGGTACTTTTCAGTAGACTGTCACATCTCACCTGTTCAATATCATGCTGGCTCACTCGATTCAGTCCGCTGCTGAAATCCAAGTTAGGCTCTGATCCAAAGGAATCTAGTGATAGAAAATGAGACGTTAAAATTGGCTGCTCCACACTATCTT